AGGTTTATTTATTTATTTATTTATTTTTGCCAGTCGTGGGGCCTGAACTGTGGGTCTGGGCGCTGTCCCTCAGCTCTTCAGCTCACTACCACTTGAGCCACAGTGCCACTTCTGGCTTTTTTTGTTTATGTGGTGCTGAGGAATTGAACCCAGGACTTCATACATGCTAGGAAAGCACTCTACCACTAAGCCATATTCCTGGCCGTGGTTTTATTTCTTAACTGCTTTCACCTTGGATAAATTATTTAAACTGCATCCTATCTGCTAAAACTGAGATATAACGTCGGTGATTAGTGCAACAAGCTGTTTCCAAAACTGAATGTGATACTTTATGAGGATTACACAGGCAAATGTGCCAGAACATGTCATTTATAACAATGTGTTCTGGATCTGACAGAAAAATAAATTACTATTACATTCAATTTTTATTTGTGGTCATATCTTTTTTTTTCCCATTTGAACAACTATAGTTTAGACACAGTTGTACATAAACATTCAGATTGAAAGACTTCCCCAAGAAAATCACTTGGGACACATGGTTACCTATAAAGTTTAATGTCAGTAACTTGACAAGCTACCTTGTCGGGCTGAGTGTAGCAGCTAGGGGGACTACAAGCCTGGTTATATGGGGTTTGGGTGAGACATGACATGAAAGTGTGTATGGGGGGGATCTTGTTGTGGAGGTGCTAAGATTTATAGTTGTAGCTGCCTGTGTCACCAGATAAGGCTAATTTGGGGGAAGTGTCTATGTCATCAGAGTTCAGGGAAAGGCCATGTTAAATGCAGGGCCTAAGATAGCCAAGTGGCTCCTAAAGTAGAGGAGGTTATGCTAACACATATCACAAGATAACCCCCTGGAAGGGCTATTAGGTGATCTCACTTGATTAGGAAAATTCTCCTGCACAGGATGTATAGCACCTTGACTTCTATTATGCAGAATTGATTGCTCTCTCCTCTGTATCATGTTATACACCCCTCACTTCATACAGATTGATACTAAGTTGTGTATTGTATTTTTGATTAAAGAACTGACAAGTAGCTATATAGCCTGTCCCTTTGATCTATCTTCAAGGGTAATACTAAGGTAAGGAGTACTTTTCTTTTTGAACAGTGTCACCCACAGTATAGTTTCTTCAAACTCATGATCCCTACTTCCCCTTCATGTTCTTTTTTTTTTTTTGTCAGTCATGGGGCTTGAACTCTGGGCCTGGGTACTGTCCCTCAGCTCTTTAGCTCAAGAGCTTGAGCTCTACTACTTGAGCCACAGTGCCACTTCTGGTTTTCTGGTGGTTTATAGGAGGTAACAGTCTCATGGACTTTCCTGCCCAGGCTGGCTTTGAACCACGATCCTCAGATCTCAGCCTCCTGACTAGCTAGAATCGATTACAGGCATGAGCCACCAACATCCAGCGCCCTTCATCTTTTGCCTCCAGGCTGATACACAACTCAGGATAACATCCCCGAGCTTTTTTTTTTTTTTGGGTCCGGTCGTGAGCCTGGACTCTGGGCCTGGGTGCTGTCCCTCAGCTCTTCAGCTCAAGGCTAGCGCTCTACCACTTGAGCTACAGCGCCACTTCTGGCTTTTTTCTTTTTGCTTATGTGGTGCTGAGGAATCGAACCCAGGGCCTCAGGCTTGGAAGGCAAGTGCTCTACCGCTGAGCCACCTTCCCAGCCCCCCCGAGATTTTTTTTTTCTTGGTGCCAATATTGGAGTTTGAACTCAGGGTCTCCAGCTTGCTCAGCCTGCTTGCTAACACATCCTCAGTGTGGCTTTTTGCTGGTTATTTTGGAGATGGACTTTCCACTAGCACCTTACTTCTCCCAGATTCTAAATCATACCTGTAAAATATCTTTTGCCATCAAACACTTTAGCAGTTTCCAGATATAATTGTTGTTTGAATATGAAATGTTGCCTATAGATTCACGTACTGGGAGTGTGGTGGCCATGAATGATGGGATTTGGGGAAGTGACTGGATCTTGAGGGGTCTGACCTCATCAATGGGTTGCTCCCCTGATGTACTCAAAGTATGATGGCAATGCTGGGAGGTAGTGAAAAGTAGTGAGGACTACTTGGAAGAAGTGGTCACTGGGAATGTGTCCTTGAGATATTCTGCCTTCATCCTCTCCTGGGTTCTTCTCGGTTTGTCACAAGGTTAGCAGTTTTCTCCTCCATATGCTCATGCTGCCATGGTTATACATAAGTCATGAGCCAAGTGACCAAGGTGCTGAACTTCTGAAACCATGATGCTTCTTTCCTTTCTTAAGTTTCTACCAGGTATTTTGTTACAGCAGTAAGAAAAGTAACTGCCACGGTTATGGAAATTATTGTAGTGATACTCTTGGTAATACAATGATCAAAACTGGTAGTGGTTATTCCCTGTGGACAGTTTCCTAGTGTTAAACCTTGTAATTCTGTAGGTTTACTTGTTCTGTAGTGCTGGGCTAGGCACCCTTACCCCACATCTCCTCTGTTGGAGAAGCAGGAGAGTAAAATGTGATAGTTTTTGTTTTTTTTGAGAGAAAAAGAATAAGGATGGACTTCACACGTCCAGTTTGTCCTTTTAAGTAAACCAACCAAAAAATCAACCCTCAGAGAGAAGTAAACTGGGGACAAATGAAGAAGCTAGAAATACTCTTGTTAAGAATAAGAGCACAAAGGTCAAACTCAAGACCACCAGGTTTATTTGGGAGGAAGGTCTGCCTGGGAAGGGCAACCAAGTCTCCTTCCACCCAGGCTGAAGGAGAAATGGTGTAATTCCCCCCCCCCCTTACAACTAGGCCCCCTTTAAATATTAGGCAGAAAAAGTGAAGTCAGCTGGGATGGGTGGGTGGGATGTATGTGGGGTGGGAGAGCAATCTTTATCTCAAGTAGGTATGCCTGTCTGGGGGGAAAGGTGAGTGCTTTCAGTTTAATCAATTATATTAATAGATGCCATTCCATATGGAAGGAAACGTTGTGAGTAGGAGTAAATGTTTCCTCAGCAGATATTATCCACTTTGGGGAATAATGGGGCTTGAACTCAGGGACTTGTGCTTGTTAGGCAAGTACACTACTGTGAAGACTCAGGGTCTGTGTTAGAGGGACAGAATGATGCAGGCTCTGGCCTCAGGATTATCTGAGGACTGTGTTTGTGTATGTGAAAAGCTCTTGGCATACCAGGCTAGAGAGGGAACATGTTCTCTCTCCCTATCTCAAAGCACGTGTCACAGATTCCTGGGAGCTGAGGAAGTAGCTCTGCTTATTTAAGCATAGATGAGCAGCTAGCCAAGCATTTTCCTGAGTACAGGGAAGTGGTCTGAGCTTGCTCTAAAATAGTTTAGATAAAAATATACAAAGACATTGTCTCATTGTTTAAGCAAAATTGTATCTGTTGAAATTCTTTGTGTGAATGTCTCCTGACTAAATCTTGGCAAAGATAATGCAATAAAGTACAGTACACAGTGGCAATTGCTGTTTGCACTCTGCATCACCGGTGTCCTGGTGATTTGGCGACCCTTACCCAGGGACCCCAATGCCTTAGACGTTGACACACTACCATTAGAACCAGGCCTTATCTACTCCATCTACTCAGCCTCCTAAGGAATGTCATCACCACAATTTAGCAAAATAGCTTGCCTGTGAATAACTGACTCCTTTCCCATTTTGATGTTACTGTCCACTGATTCCACCACCCATACTACTCATCTTACACTCACAGATATCCACGGCACTGCCATCCTCTACGTTCTCAATGCCTTGGGGAGGCTTTCTTCTTTTCCTTCACCTCTCCTCTTCTTCCCTTTCATGCCCTAAGTTTCTTGCCGGAGGATTGCAATGGCCTCAAGAGTGTCTCGGTCACCTTCACTTCCTACCTTTACTCGAGAAGCTTCCTGGGCTTGGAATTATGTCATTCCTAGCCCCCTCACCCCAACCTCCCCAGTTTGCCCAAAGGAAGTCACTTTTCAATACTGAGCAGGTTCAGACTTGCATCCACGTTTCTATACCACCAAGACCGTACTCCCTGCATTAAGACTTTTCAAAGTCTTAATGGGCTGTTTGTGGTCCTTGAAGGTGCTGTGGAGGTGCATGGTGGCACTGCCAGGATCCCAGACGAGGAATTCAAAGCAGGAGAAGCCCATGTGCCCCACCAGCCTCATCCATGGGATTTCCTTTTAGCATCAATACTCTCCAAGAGCCAGGCGTTTGTGGCTCGCGCCTATAATCGTAGCTACTCAGGAGGCTGAGATCTGAGGCTCGAGGTTGGAGGCCAGCCGGGGCAGGAGAGTCCGTGAGACTCTTCTCTCTAACCAACCAGCAAAAAGCCGGAGGTGGAGCAGGAGCTGGAGTGGGGGAGCGCCAGCCTTGAGCGCAAATGCTCAGGGGCGGAACCCAGGTCCCAAGTTCAAGCCCAGGACCGGCACAAAACAAGGCAGACAAATCCTCACCGACGGGGTCAGGACGGGCATTAAATTCTTCCCACTAAGGACGCTGAGAGCCGGGGGTGGGGGGGAGGGGGGCAGGGGGGTTCGAGGCTCGGTCCGTCACGGCTCGCTGCCGCGTTAACGCCCGTTCCCCGCCCCCCGGGTTCCACGGCTCCGAGGGCCGCCCGACGCCTCTCAGAAGGCGCGGCTCCGTCCGCTCCGCACCGGTCCGGGCGAGTCCCAAGCCATCTCCACCGGCGCCCGGGACACCGGCGCCCGGGACACCTGGCCGTGCGCGGTGACGCGCACGGGTGACGCCATACAGTGACGTGCGATGACGCGACTGACCCGCAGCCAGGTGCCCGCCGGGCAGCCACACCCTGGGGACCCCGCTCAGGAGGGGCAGCGGGTCGGACTAGTGGGGAAGAAGCCTCAAACTCCACCCCAAGAGACCCCGGAGCCTCAGATCCCGGAGCCCGCCGGTCCGCGCTCGACCGGTTGGTAGGTGACGCCAGCGCGCAGGGCGCGTGCGCGGCCACGGCGGTGTGCGTGAAAGCGGACGCGCGCCGCGGCGGCGGCGGCGGCGGCGGCAGCGAGGACGGCGGCGACGGCAGCGGCCGAGGGGGCGGCGGCTACGTGGGGGGAGCGCGGCAGGCGGCGGAGTCGTCTGTGCCGCGGGCCCGGTCGCAGAGGAACATTGTCGGGGTGAGTAGCCGAGAGATCGCTTCACCTGCTGCGCGGGCCCGGGGCGCGGGGGCGCGCGCCGCTCCACGCCCCTCCGCCGCCTTTTCCGGGGGGCGGGGAAGGAGCCGGGGACGGGGGCTGACGAGGGTCAGTTCCCGGGCCCGGCGTGCCGGGAAGCGGCCGCGCGGGGGGTCCGGTGGGGAAGGGGCTCGTACGTCTGGGAGGTGCAGTGGGTTTGGGGGTTGACTGTGCCGGGCTTCCTCTCCTCCCCCCAAAACAACCGCCCTGAGGAACTGGACTGAGGAGAAGCCCGGGTCCTCGGCGGCCTCGCGTCGTCGCTGACAGGCGGTCGCGCGCGAGCGACAGGAGGCGGAAATGCGGACCCCCCCCCCCCCCCCCGCACTCATCCCCGCCGCGGGACTGGGGTGCGGAAAATAAGATCTAGGCTCGCCGGACCTTTCCCCTCCTGGTCTCGGGGCCGGAGCGGGTGGTTCTGGAGAGAGTGGCCCGCCGGTGCCTCCCGCGCCGGACACACCCACGACCTCGGGGCAGGGCCACCTGTCCGGGTGGACGGGGGCGGCCCACCTGTTGCCTGGATTTTTCCAGCCTCACGTGTGTGCCCACGTGCTTCCTTGGCGTTTTCTGCCAGTGTTGCTGTAGATTTTGAGGCCCAGGCTCTGGTACCTACTTGTCTTCTGTTGTTACTTCCCTATAGACTCAGATCTCCTTCTATCTATTTCCAGACACCTGTTTTGCCTGTGTCATTATCAGGGACATGAAAGTATGAAAGCACTCTTGTTTGTTTGTTTGTTTTTAAACCATGAAAGCACTCTTGTGTGTTTTTAAACCAAAGCTTAGGCAGTACTGACTTGTTTACTAGGTAGAAAATAATGATTCTGTTCAACATGTGAATTGGATGGGAGATGCCAGCATCAAAGGTGCCCCAAATCATAGCCCAGTGCACTGGACTCCCACAATGCTAGATTTGTGGTGGTCTTAGTTATCATTAGAAAGGGAGTATTGGAGGCAGGGAATAACTCCATTATTAACAAAATCCTGAATTCCTGTTGATTAAGGCAATACCAAGAACTTAAAAAAAAAAGATTGTATTGGCTGGGGGCCAATAGCTCATGCGTGTAATCCTAGCTACTCAGGAGGCTGAGATTAGAAGCCAATCCAGGCAGGAAAGTCGGGTTAGACTCTCCTCCCCAATTAACCACCCAAAAGCCCAAAAGTGGAGTAGAGGCTAAAGTGATAGACGGTTAGCCTTGAACAAGAACAGCTCAGGGACAGAGCCCAGGCCCTGAGTTCAAGCCTCAGGACAGTTCCCCCCCCTCATTATATTGAAATTGAATCATGGTTTGTGTAAGAATATGGAGGGAAATAACTTCAAAGTTTCTTTTCAATCTAGCCCTAAAATTCTGCATTTCATCATGGAGGATCTGTAGAGTATGTTACCTGAACTGAGGTTCTTAACATCTTGGAGCCAGTAAACTCAGCTCTGTATTATTCAGAATTCAAAGACACTTCCGGTAACAGCATTTAGGACAAGAGTCATATCTCCACCAAGAGGAGATTTTGTCACAGAGTAAGCGCACAATACATGTTTGTTATCATTCACAACTGAGTGTGTATCTGTGAGTAGAAAGTAGTTTACTCCTTCACTTTATACAGTTTATACACTTCCTCCAGTGTTACATTTGATGCGGGAGGAGGATTGTAGGGTTAGACATGATACAGAAAGGCTGGTGCTGGTGGCTCATGCCTGTAACCCTAGCTCCTCTAGGAGGCTGAGATCTGAGGATCCCAGTTTGAAGCCACAGGGGGGAGAAAAGTCCGGTGAGACTCTTATCTCCAATTAACCACTTAAAAACTGCAATTGGCACTGTGGCTCAAACTGGTGGAACACTAGCCTTGAGTAAAAGAGTTCAAGGACAGCACCCAGGCCTTGAGTTCAAACTCCATGAAAAAAAATGACATAGAAGACCTGGCTTTTTCCTGAACAATTCAGTTGGGGGGGGGGGGGGAGCAGGCATGTGTAAAAGAATTATGAAACCAACTGAGGTAGTGTGTAAGCAAGGGTTATATGAGAACTCTTAAGCACAGTGGAAACTTGCAAAAGATAAGATATGGTCAGGGTTGGGATCTCTTTGGGAGAAGTAAGCCTGGAAGTGGTCTTTGAAAGAAGTGTGAAATTTGAATTAGGAAAGAGATAAGGAATCAAATTCAGAGAAGTTAATGGGAATTTGATCATTGGGGATATGTTGAGACTAATTTATGACTGGACTAGAAGAAGGGAAGAAGGTCTTTGAGAGGGAAATTTTGGAAAGAGAGTGCTCAAGAAGATGGGAAGGGGTAGTGTTAAAGACGGTCAGCATCTCATAGTCCCTGCTTTTAGGGATTGTGGGGATTGTGTTAAAGTCTTTTAGAAGAATGAGTGGTATTTTTACTTAATATTATCAGATACTCTGGTTGAGCCAGTAGCAAGGTGTTACATATTTTTAATTTCAATTACTGATTGGAATAAGTGTCTCTAATGTGTATGTATCTTATGTAATCAGTAGTGCATGCCTCAGTTCTGAAGTCGACCTAAGGTGCTTCAGGCCTTTCTATTGGAAATTTACTGAAGTGAGGTAGCTGAAGTAGTTACCCAGCCTTATCAGTGGCACAGTTTTTGCTTGGGATTATCTCTTAGTGGTGTATGAGATTTGCAGTTATTGCCTAGCCTATGAAAAATAAAAATGGAAAAGGAGTCTTATTTGCAGAAAAACTCAAAAATATTGACAGAAATATTTGATAATACAGACTCTGCTGCTGACTATTAATTTATAACATCTTTTGTTGTATGACAATATCTTGAGTAATGGTGTGAACCTGAAGTTGGATTCCTAGCCATGATGAGTAAGGTTACACAGAATATACTGCATTATTTAACAACTGAACAAGTATTTACTGGGTGCTGGCTATGCTAGCCATTCTGCTGGGTTCTGGGAGGATATAACTGAACACGATATGACATAACAGGATTCATCAGATAATCACTAGCCATTATATGGTGTGATATGTTTAATAAGTTCTGGAATGAATAAAGTGCTGAGGAATAGATAGCTTTGGGTAAAAAATTTGATAGCAAAAGATTGCTTTGAATAGAAGAGTATAGGACTTAGACCTGAAGAAAGAGAGGAAAAGAGCATTCCAGTGGGAAAGAAATGCATACATTGATGAGAGGTTTCTAGATGTTGAAATATTTGTATTTTCCCTCTAGCTGCTTTTATTTTTATTTTTATTTTTTGCCAGTTCTGGGGCTTGAACTCTGTTTCTTTTTTTTTTTTTGGGGGGGGGATGGGCATGGGTCTGGTCGTGGGGCCTGAACTCTGGACCTGGGCGCTGTCCTTCAGCTCTTCAGCTCAAGGCTAGCGCTCTACCACTTGAGCCACAGCGCCACTTCTGGCTTTTTTCTTTTTGCTTATGTGGTGCTGAGGAATCGAACCCAGGGCCTCATGCATGCAAGGCAAGCGCTCTACCACTGAGCCACCTTCCCAGCCCCAATAGATTTTAACTTCCTTTTTTTTTTTTGTTGGTCATGGGGCTTGAACTCTGGGCTTGGGTGCTGTCCCTCAGCTCTTGAGCTCAAGGTGAGCACAGGGCTTGAACTCTGGATCTGAGCGCTGTCCCTGAGCTTTTTGCTCAAGGCCAATGTTCTACCACTTGAGTTACAGTGCCACTTCTGGCTTAGTAGTTTATTGTAGATAAGAGTCTTATGGACTTCCCTGACCTGGCTGGCTTCAAACTGTGATCCTCAGATCTTAGCTTCCTGAGCAGTTAGGATTACAGGTATGAGCCACCAGTGCCCAACTTGTAAAGCATTTTTTTTTTTTTTTTAATTGTGAGGCTTGAATTCAGGTTTTGGGCACTATCCCTGAGCTTTTTGCTCAAAGCTAGAGCTCTGTCACCTAGAGCCACAGCTTCACTTCCGGTTTTCTGATAGTTAACTGAAGAGTCAGTCTCACAGATTTTCCTGCCTGGGCTAGCTTTGAACCTTGATCTTCAGCTCTCAGGATTACAGGCATGAGCCACCAGCGCCAGCCTTTCTATGTCACATCTAACCCTACAATCCTGTAATCCTAGCTACTTAGGAGTCTGATACCCATCTTGGGTCTTATGTGTCATATATATGAGGACTTTTGACGTATAGTACAAATATTAGTCCTAGTCTTTGATAGGAGCTTGTAAGAGAGTTTTGCCATAGAAAGAAAGCAAACAGTGCTTGTGTAAAGTTTTGAACACATTTGTAAAGGAATTTCAGGAGTTTAGTTGGTGCTTCCTAACTAAAAAGTTGCCAAATGATCACCATACTTTCTAGGTACTTGTTCTTTTTTTTTTAGGTAACATTCATTCATTAAGCAATTATTGTTTCCCTGGAAATTATGTGTAAACATATGCATACTGTCAGGGACTATATCTGACTTTTACAACACTGGTAAGAACAGATGTTGAGGACTTGATGCTGAATCTACTCAGCTTTATGCAAGGGCTATGAGCAGAATAGAGATGTATAGACTTTTGTTTTTTGCAATCAGATTTGCAATTTGATAGAAGAGAGACTATATTTGGATTACTACAAAGGATAGAAACATCTATAAATATTGATTACAGTCTAGGTACTTGATTGTTGAGTGGCTGAGTGTTCAGTTTTTATTTCAATTCATAAGCCATTAAGATGTTTCAGAAATTATAACAATTCATAACTCATATTCACCTCATGGGCTGCTTTTTGCATCTGAATATGGGAAACAAAAATAAATATTCTGGTGGCCTGTGTCCTTGTTTTCTTGATTTAGGAATATACTCACAGAACATTGTCTTAGGCAACTTTCTGCTTTCATAGACAACTAAGACAAATCAGGTTTATTTTGGCTTACAGTTTTGGAGTTTCTAGTCCATAATCAGGCAAGTCCATTACTTTTAGTACTGTGATGGCAGGAGTATTACATAGAGCACTTTATGGCTGGAGAAATTAG